ATTCAATATATTCCATAGCACATGGCTGATGAGGCCCAACTCCCCATCTTCACCATGAATAAAAATCCAGAAAAGACTACGTTTCTAAGCAGCTCTCTTCCTTTACATAGGTTGCCAAAGATGATTCTTCCTAATCAATACTAATTATGAACTTTCAAAAATAATCCTGAATATGAGTATACCTGATATGTTCCCAGTCAACACCTTCAAAAAAAGAATTACTTTTGATTTCCTCAACTCCGGGGGCTCCAATTCTGTGTTCCCATTCACAGCAGAACCTGGAAAAGAAAGAGGACTTTCAGCACACCTCAAGGAATTTCTTCAGGCAAAGAAAAAAATAAACTCTCCTCTTCTTCTTCTTCTTCTTTTTTAATTTGTTTGTTTTCAAGAGAAGAATGGGGGAAAGCAGGGATCAGACCCAAAGATAAGGAGGTGGTGGGGGAATGTTCTCTGATACCTCAAAATTAGATCCTTGGCTTTCTCAGAGATGGGAACTTCTGGAGGAAAAGTGAGAGTTTCTTTCCAGTTCATCACCTTCTTGTATGTCTCCTGAGGGGTCTCAGAACAGAAAGGTGGGTAGCCTGTAATAAAAAAGGAACTTTGGAGCTTTTACATCCCAGAACTCTGAATCTGACTGAAATTATCCTCCTTGACACAGTTCCACATATCGTTGAGGACTACCTGACACCTCTGTATGTCCATTCCTCTATAATAGTCAGGGTTTCCACTTACCCCAGAGAACATCTAGACCAATTTTTCATCCTCCCCTCCCCCCACAAAAGCTTCACGAAGTCTGAAGTGAAGTTATACTTTTGGTACCACTAGGAAGCCAGTAAATAGTTGCTGGGAAAAGAAAAAAGTGGGAATCACCCTGCTGACAGGATGAAACATCACCATTAAAAAATTACCCATTCTAGGAATACACTTGTGTGGGTACAGTGCCAAAACAGCTGAATAAGAAAAAAGCATGGGCTTTAAAAGTGACCACCACGCCTCTTTTTTTGAGAAGTGCGGGCAAGAAGATAAGCACTCACATACCCTGTGACCCACTGGCCCTCCTTGATGTACAGGGTGCCTTCCCCTGCACAGCCATCCCTCCATGTCCCACAGACAATGCAGCCCGATGACTCCACACCCAGCTATCCACACASTCTCTCTCCTATGTTCAATGGCACATGGCCATCCCCACAGATGTGTCCCCTCTATACAGATATATATCCAAAGAAGTAGAGAGGTCACAGGCCTTCCTGCTTCGAAGGCTTTGAGAGAGGAAGGGGACATAGCAAATTCCAAGTGAAGAGTGAGGCAGTGCTCAGTTAGAACTCTGCACACATTAAGTGTTTAATAAATACAGTGCTAGAGATGCTAGACGGAGAGGATGAAAGCACAGAAGAAAAAAATAAATGATCAGCAAAGCAACCACAGGATGACAGGAAGTCTAAGAACATAGTGAAACACATTTGACTGAGAGTTCTCAATCTAAGAAACTTCACTTTGAAAGAAAAACGGGTGGGGGGGGCACCTAGATCACCCCCAAATAAAACAGAATCTAATATCAAACTAGAAGTGTTTTCTGGATGCACAGAAAATATTCTCTGGAAGCATGCAACTTACCAATGAGCATCTCATACATGATCACCCCAAGCGACCACCAATCACACAGCTTGTTGTACCCAGTCTGCATGAACACCTCAGGAGCAATGTAGTCAGGAGTGCCTACTGTGGAGAAGGCCTGAAATACATACCACACATCAGGGAGGCCAAGCCAGGGAAGGGGGTATGCAGAGTTCTGCTCTAGAGACCAAAGGCTACAAAAGCACCAATAGGAGCTGCCCTGAAACTAAATAAGCAGGAGAGTCTAGGAGCTTAAAGCAAGCTTGAGTTGCTAGGGTGCTTCCCATGATGAATAATAAAGCTTTGTTAATGAGGCAAAAGACCCTTCCTAAATATATCCAAAGCCTGTAATTCACTAGGTCACACGTATCTCTTTCATAACAATTAGTACCATAATTTACTATGATTAAATACAAAGCTCTGTACTTAATATGTGTATTCAGCTATTTAAATCCTGACAAAACCTCTACAAAGAAGGACCTTATTAGTGCAGTGTTGCAGATATGAACATTGAAATTCAAGATAGATTCGCCTAAGGCCTCAAACTTAAAATTAGTTATATGGTAGAGTGCTGTTCAGAAATTACATATCTTGCTCCAATTCCAATTATCCCTCTTTCTATCATACATATTGTTTGATTTGAGAAAACCATAAAGGAAAGCTTTATTATTAAAAGCTAACATTATACACTACAGATCAAAAGTTTATAAATGTCTCCTTACCAAACTTAAGCATTTCTAGAAATAATTATTAGAGAAATATTTTCTTTACTTTTTTTTTTTTTTTTGGTGGGGGAGTACTTGGGATTAAACCTAGGAGCACTTTACCACCAAATTATATCCCCTTTTTATCTTAAGACAGGGTCTCACCAAGTTGTTGATGGTCTCACTAAATTGTGAGACATAATTTGTGGCTCACATAATTTGTGGCTGGCCTCAAATTTGTGATTCTCCTGCCTCAGCCTCCTGAGTCTCTGGGATTATAGGCATGCACCACCACACCTGGCTAGAGGAATATTTTCTAGAGTCCAGTATTCTGGTCTAATATACCAGGAATGCAAAATACTAGGAGGAAGTACAGTCAAAGTCTTCTGAAGTGCTTAGCATGTGAGAGTCTACTGTGAGTAAGGCTCTAGTCCAGGTGCTTTAAATACTATATAAGCTTTAAAATAAAAAAATAACAGCTGTATTGTCTTTTTAAAATATTTATTATGATGGGGCTGGGGTTATGCTCAGTGGTAGAGCGCTCACCTAGCACGTGCGAGGCCCTGGGTTCGATTCTCAGCACCACTTATAAATAAATAAAATAAAGTTATTGTGTCCAACTACAACTACAAAAACTAAATATTTTTTAAAATTTTAKTATGAAATATTACAAACATACAGAAAAAAAGCAGACAATGCAATACACATCCCATAGTAGAGGTTAATAATCTACTCTATTTGTTGCAGTCATTTGTCTTTTTTAAATAAATGGAACYACAGAAACAATTAAAGCTTTGCCTTAAAAACCCAACTCTCTCTCCTCAATGAGGCAGAAACTACCCAGAAGTTGCTGTGCTGTTCTTGTGTGAATGTGCTCATAAATTACACATGATTTCTTGTATAAACATTCMATAAGTGGTTTCATACTATACTGAGTTATTCTTCAGTATTACAACTTGCCTTTTTTACTCAACATTATGGTTTTGAGACCTATTCATGTAGCTCTAGTTCATTCTTTTCTCTGGGTATTATTTTCTGTTACAGAAATAAATCAAAATTGTTTTTATCCATTCTTCTATACATGGACACTTACATTGTTTCTAATGTTTCACTTTGACAACACCTGAGTAAACGTTCTCTCAATATCTCCTTGAGCTCTGTGCAAGAATTTCCATCATATACTACAGATTGTATATTATAGTAGTTTTGCTGGGTCTTGGGTTACAAACATTTCAACTTAAAGAGCTAACTGCCAACTGTCCTCCAAAGTGGTTATTCCTATTGAAACTTAGGCAAGGGGATAAGTTGGTGCTATGCACCTTACCAACACTTGGCTTGGTCAAATTGTTAAAATGTTACCAATTTAATGAATATGAAATAAGACGTTTTAATTTGTATTTCCCTTATTTCTAGTAAGGCTGAGCACAGATTTATATGATAATTAACTATCTTATGGTCATTTTGTGAATTTCCTTTCATATATTTTGCCCATTAGTTTTTTTAGTAGTTCTTTTTATTTTATTTTAGAGAGAGAGAGAGAGAGAGAGAGAGAGAGAGAGAAATGTTTTTAATATTTATTTTTTAGTTTTTGGCGGACACAACATCTTTGTTTGTATGTGGTGCTGAGGATCGAACCCGGGCACGCATGCCAGGCGAGTGCACTACCACTTGAGCCACATCCCCAGCCCATTAGTAGTTCTTTTTCTTATTGATTCACAAGAATTTTTATGAATTCAGGACACTAATCCTTAATATAATCTCCTACTATGAATCTTACTGCTTTTATAATGGTTTTATAAATGAAGTAATATTTGATACATACGAAAAATAAACATTATGTCACATCCATACATATGGTACATACATGTGTAATTATTGAATTATGAGGCATAACAATGTAATGAACACCCATGAGTTCAACTAATAAACCAATGCCAGTATCATTAAAGCCAAACCTACACGCCACCCCATACCATCCTGTATCACCTCCTACCTACCTCTATTAATGTTTATCCTTCCTCTGCTTTTCAAAAGAAACTGAATTTTGTTACGTCTATAAATGAGATCTTCTTTAGTTTTGGTTTTGAGCTTTATAAAAATGGTATCATTGTATATGAAGGCTTCTGCTATTTGATTTCTCCTCCTGATGTTGTTTGTTTCTTTCTTTCTCTGTTTTGATGCTAGGGATTGAACTCAGGGGCACACGACCACTGAGCTACAACCTCAGCCATCTTTACATTTTATTTTGAGACAGGGTCTTGAAAAATTGCCCAAGCTGGTCTCGAACTTGCCATCCTCCTACCTCAGTCTCCTAAGCAGCTGAGATTACAGGTATGCACCACCTGCCTGACTCAATGTTGTTTTTAAAATTGATCCATGCTATCACAGGTAACAGTAGTTCAGTTATTTTCACTGCTATAAAATATTCTGTTCCAGATGTAACCATTTCCCTGGATTATTTTCAGTGTTTTGCTGTTAGAGAAAAAGCAATAAACATTCTTCTGTATGTCTCCTGGTGTACACATGCATTATCTCCAGGGCATGTGACAGTGGTAGAAGTGCAGGACTTCTGTACATCTGGCTTATCTTTTCATTTGTGTCTTTTGATATACAGAGATTTGTTTTCCTTTAAAAATAATAAAACGAATCCCTCCTCAGTACTGACAGTGAGTTGATTCTCTTTTTACAATAAAAAAGCTGAGTAATATTGCATAGGAGTACCAGAAACTGCCTCAGTGGAAACAGAAACTATTTACATTAAATAAAAACCTGGCTGCAGGCTKCGTCTGCACATGTACAGCACGGTGCGATGCACACTGACCAACCCATGGAGACAGCTTCTGGCACTCAGGACCACAGAGTCGCACGTTTGCCACATGAGAGGAAAGCGAGGGCGGAGAGGAGAAAGTGAGGGGGTGGGGGGGGTTCAGGTTCACTTCTGGTTCCGGAGCTGATTGGACAGCCAGTCCAGTCCTTCATAGAGCCCGTCCCCGCTGGTGGCACAGGTGGCCTGAATATACCAGTTCCTGTGACTTAGCGAGTGCAGCCCCAGCTTGTCTGTGATTTCGGCTGCATTCATGGCATTTGGGAGGTCCTGCTTGTTGGCAAACACCAGGAGGACAGCGTCCCGCAGCTCATCCTCAGCCAGCATCCTCATGAGCTCCTCGCGGGCCTCATTCACACGCTCTCTGTCATTGCTGTCCACCACAAAGATCAAGCCTTGGSTGTTCTGGAAGTAGTGGCGCCATAGTGGSCRGATCTTGTCTTGGCCACCCACRTCCCACACAGTGAAGCTGATATTCTTGTACTCAACGGTTTCCACATTAAAACCTATGGTGGGAATAGTGGTCACAATTTCACCCAGCTTCAGTTTGTAGAGAATCGTCGTCTTCCCTGCAGCATCCAGGCCCACCATGAGGATGCGCATTTCTTTTTTGCCAAAAAGGCCCTTGAAGAGGTTTGCAAAGATATTCCCCATCCTTGTGGGTGGTTGGAAGCGACACTGGCCAGAGACCTCAGCGGCGGCTGCTCCGAGCCAGGYGTTGGTTTCGCTCCCACCTGGTTTTAGCTTTAAAGTCTGAAACATGGATTGTGTCCTCCCCCAAAATCAAAGTATTTTCATTCTAATTATAAAAGTAAGAAACTATAGATACTCTTTAAATACTAGATTTATTCTAGCAAAGATGAATGTAAGTAAATCTTATTTGATCAAAGATCATAAAACCAGAGGTCTATTGCCACAAGAAAAGAATTCCTTTAAGATACGAAGGTGTTAAAAACAACTCTTAGAATTATAAAATATAGCCGACTGATAGCTCAAACCTGTGACAGGAAGAGTGATTCTGTCCCTCTGGGAGCAGAGCCCTGCCATGGGGACTCTCTCATTTTCCTACACTTACTTCCTGCACTGTATGCATCAGTTGGAGCCTTTCCAATCTGAGGACTACACCCATCCCAAATCTTTGTCTGTTTTCCATGTGGGGGTACCCTCCAACTCCAACCTCTTCAATCTGTACCCTTTTTCATTTGTTGTCTGAGTATTTATAATGTCAATGAGAGTGGTCATCTAGAACAGCACTATTGCTGCTTAACAGTCATTTCAATCACACCATGTGTCCTAAACCTTATGACTTTCATTTCAGAGTTTTAGAAGTAACAAGGCAACTTCATTTCCCACTTAATCACTTCTATAAATTTCACACTAAAAATAAACTGACTAGGATTAAATATCTACATATGCATCATCTCTTACCTTGGTGGTTTAATAACTTCAAACTGATTCATATCTGTTACCTAATCAGTTACTGAGGCCTAAGGTTACTCAGGACCATGTCACAATTTAAAACATTACAGTAAGCAGCCAAGGAAGGAAGGTGAAACCTCTACTATCTATCTATCTATCTATCTATCTATCTATCTATCTATCTATCTATCTATCTATCTATTTGGTATTGGGGGTTGAATCCCGGAATGGTTTAACACTAAGCTACATCCCCAAGTCCTTTTAACTTTTTATTTTGAGACAGGAGCTCACCAATTTACTCAGGGCCTCTCTAAATTGCTAAGGCTGGCCTCCAATTTGTGATCCTCCTGCCTCAGGCTCCTGAGTTGCTGGGATTACAAGCATGTGCCCACTATGCCCAGCACAAGCCTCTACTTTGTGATTCCCAATGGACTAAAAAGCAATAGTCTTGGGGAAACAATTACACACATTAGGYTCAACCTGGAGGCAGTTTGTTTATTTAGGGAGCAGGGATTGAACCCTGGGGCCCTTAACAATTGAGCTATATCCTCAGCCTTTTTAATGTTACCTAATGTTTACTAATCAGTTATTTTTTGAGATAAAATCTTGCTAAATAGCTGAGGCTGGCTTTGAAYTTGTGATCCTCCTGTTTTACCCTCCTAAGCTGCAGGGATTACAGGCGTGCACCACCACACCAGGCAAATTTATATTAAGCATTAGTTAATATCAACTTTCAGCTTGGTAATAGCTGAATAGGATCGTTTAGAAATATCATTAATTAACATCTGGAAGACTGGGAGACTGGGAGAGGGCTTTATTTTAAATTATGCAAAGGGGTAATATGAGGATTACCTTAACTTATACCTTCTCATTTCTATTGTGAATAGAGTATAAATTTAAAGTTTATTCAGACTTTCAAAATTCTTTTTTTTTAAATTTTTTTTGTAGTTGTAGATGAACAGAATGCCTTTATTTTATTTGTTTACTTTTATGTGGTGCTGAGAATCTAACCCAGTGCCTCACACAGGCTAGGCAAGCACTCTCCCACTGAGCTGCGGTCCCAGCCCCTCAAAACTCTTTTTAAAGTGAAATTTAACTCCAAATATGGAAACTATGAAATCTCTTTCTTATAGAATTTTAAGTGGTCACTAGTGAATCTGATACGACCATTTGGTATCTGTCAAGGAGCATAAAGCTTGTCTGGAATATAAGTACAGTTTAAGGCACTTCAACTTAATCACTCCCAATATAAATGTAAGCAGAGTAAACAAAGGTTAAATCCTAACCTGAAAGGACTGGGGGTAAAGCTCAGTAGTAAAGCAGTTGCCTAACAGGCTTGAAGCCCCATGTTAGATATTCAGCAGTAACTAGAAAGAAAAAAAAAATCACAAAGGATTCCTTACTTTTTGTGAGTTTCTAAAATATAAATATCAGTCCCCCAGAAAGGCAAAGCTATCATTTCAGATCATCTTTTCAGTGGAAGATCGCAACATTAACTACACAGCAGAATCACCCAGGGTTATATATCACAGACCAAATGAGTCAGCATTTCTGTGGGTAGGACAACAAAGACATCAATAGGTTTTGAAGCTTCCCAAGTGACTCGTATGTATAGCCAATGTTAAGAATCACTGTTTTGAAGGTCTGAGTGGCGCACACTATATATAATCCTAGCAATTTAGGAAGTTGAGACAGAAGGATCAAAAATCCAAGGCCAGCCAGTCTCAGTATCTTAGCAAGACCCTCAGCAACTCAGAGACCCTGTCTCAAAAAATAAAAAGAGCTGGGGGAGCTGGGGATATAGTTCAGTAGGTAGAGTGCTTGCCTCGCATACACAGGCCCTGGGTTCAATCTCCAGCACAGCACCCCCCTGTTCCCCTCCCCAAAAAATGCTGGGGATATAGCTCAGTAGTAAAGAGCCCTTGGTTCAATTCCCAGTACCAGTGGTGTGGGTGGGAGATGGTCACTGTTTTATACAGACATAATGGAAGCATTTGACCAATCTATTCCTGATACTCCCTAAACCTGAACAAACTATGGAAACAGGTTTCTACCACAGATAGAATTTAGAAGTTTAGAGTATCACAGTTTCTAAGGAAAGGAGACAGTGTTGCAACTAATTGTACTAAAGTATCCCCAGGTTAATGTTAGATAAAAGACATCAAAGATTCATTTCAAGTTGGGTGGTAAAACATGCCTGTAATTCCAGCTCCTCAGGAAGCTGAGGCAGGAGGATCTTTGTTCAAGATCCTCTGTAACTTAAAGAGAGACCCTGTCTCAAAATTTAAAATTTAAAGGGCTAGCAGGGGATGGTGGCAAATGCCTATAATTTCAGCTACTCAACGAGACTAAGGCAGAAGGATTGCAAATTCCAGGCCAGCCTCAGCAAGACTCTATCTCAAACAAAATCATAAAAAAGGGCTAGGGATGTACCTTAGTGGTAAAGTGCCTCAAGATTTGATTCCCAGCAAAAAAAAAAAAAAAAAAAAAAAGAAGAAGAAGAAAGAATTAATTTTAAGTTACTCCATCTTCAAAAGAGTAACAAATTCATCATAGTCTAAAGCCCACTGATAAGCTTCAAAAAATCAAAATAAATGCAAGCCCTTCCTCTGATTCTTTCTTAATCCCCCAGGCTTCCATTTTCACAAGTGACTGACATCTACTTACTAGGTGACCTACTAAGTGAGTTAATAAAGGTATTACAGAGAAATCTAAAATACACATATGATCATTATCCCAAAGTACAACACATATGTTGTACTTCAAACATGAACCAATTAATTAGCTATTGTTAATAATAAATTTTGGGCTGGGGTTGTGGCTCAGTGGTAGAGCACTTGCCTAGCATGCGTAAGGCACTGGGTTCAATCCCAGGACCACATAAAAACAAAACTAAATAAACAAAATAAAGGTACTGTGTCCATCTACAACTAAAAATAAATGAAATAAAATAATAATAATAAATTTTGCCTAGATAACATTTCACTAGTGAAATTAAACTATGTAAATAATTTCCAACTATTAATGTAAATGGAATAAGGTTATACTATCAAGGTAAATGCAATAAGGTTACCTATTTTTAAGCTTGTGGGGCATAATTTTACATGTGTATACACTCAAACATAAAATAATAAAAATTTCTCTTCTAGTTCTCCCCAATTTTGATTACCAAGTACTTTTTTTCCAACACAAAGTAAGAAAACATGAGGCCTATAAATTGAGGAGTCTTAACTTGCCTAAGTGAATTAAAATTTTAACAAATTGAGAACCAATGCCTAAAAATTCAAGGTAGATATATGCACTTAACTTTCATTGCGAAATCTCCAGCTTAAATATAACCCCCTTCCCAGGGAAAAGTGGGATAGGAAGGAAAAGTATTGTCAACCACCTAAAAAGTCAGAATGAGGTGACCCATTGAAAATGTCACAATCGGGCTGGGGATGTGGCTCAAGCGGTAGCACGCTCGCCTAGCATGCATGCGGCCCGAGTTCAATCCTCAACACCACATACAAAACAAAGATGTTGTGTCCGCCAATAACTAAAAAATAAATATTAAAATTCTCTCTCTCTCCTTCTCTCACTCTCTCTTTAAAAAAAAAAAAAAAAGAAAATATCACAATCAAAACAACCCAATATTATCTGCTCTCCTTCAAGATTCCTTTTGGTGCTACCAACATAATCATAGCACTCTATAAGGTAATCATAAAAGCAAGGGATATTCTACAAATATTTATCATGTGAAAATCCATGTGTATATTTTTTAAACTTATTCACACTTGGTCTGTAGCATTTCAAAAGCCATAGCTATTACTTACTAGCTGACGTCTGTTTCTTTTCCAGGTTTCTGCTTTCCTTTTGGAATTCATGTTCTGGAAAGCTACAAATAGAAAACCAGTTCTAATCAAAGTTTATATAAAAATGGTTACTATTGAGTATATACTCTGGTTCAAGTCATATGAGACCCTAAGTTTTGTTTTTTTCTACCTTTATATAACAACTTCAGATGACACATTTCCCAGTAGGTCTGTAAGCCCAAATCAGAGGTTCTCAAGCATTACTAACTCAAAGAATCACATAACAAAAGCTCTAAACAGCACTTATAGGTGGATCATCTAGTCAGAAAGAACACACTAGGTCTTACTCCGAATTACAGGGAACTTAGTCTCAGAAACAAAGGTCCTGAAGTAGACTTAAAACATTCACTGTTTCTCAAAATTATCATCAAATTCCCAAGAGGAGCAATTGTTATATATGCAAGAATTTCTATGTTTAGGATACATTATTTGACATAAGCTTTTCTAGGATGAATTATAATTTAACTATGTAATCTTCAATGACTTGATAGCAATCAAATGTTC